CTCAAGATGTCCTAACTACCAGCTATCTTCTTCTACAGAAGCTCTCACCATCCAGGTACAGCCAAACAACTCAAGCTCATTCTCTCTCTCTCTCTCTCTCTCTCTCTCTCTCTCTCTCTCTCTCTCTCTCTCTCTCTCTCTCTCTCCTTAGAACAGTCACTATAAGGGAAAAAGAAATAGTGGCAGCTCACTCATTGCCACTTTGGTTCCTGCTATTGTACCTTCTAAGTATCATGCTTCCATCTTCCCTTCGACCACACAAAAGCACTAATATCTCTCCAGTGCATTCTATGCTTTTGTTAGCTCATTAGTTTCTTTTGCCTATAACAAAATAGCCATAAATGTATAAAGTTTCTATAACATTTGTTTTTGTTTGCTCATTTAGATTTTTTAAACAAAGAAGTCACTACTAAAATACTGAAGTGTGGGCCAGATGATTTCAGATGCTGCTTCTGGTGTTATGGTTTTAAGCTTTAAAAACAGCAGAAGAAACACCTTTTACATGTCTAGCAGCTGACTCAATGCAAGTATTACCACCAGCAGGAACCACAAAGAAACCTAGGTCAATAATACTCTTGCTTAAAAAATACCTTAGTATCTTTCCCATCAATCTTTCTGCACCAGCCTGTGAAATTTAACTGTTTCTTAATATCCAAGTGTATAATAGCTGCAGGCTTGTTCATATGCTGGAACTGTGGGATCTGGAGCTCCCTAGTGAACCCCACTTTAGGCTTCTCTCTGTTGTGGAAAGAAGAAACATTGTCTCATGAGCTTACTGACTTTGAATGAGGTGCTCTTTTAGATTTGTGCCCATCATGTGCAATAGTGACACAGTTTTCTATGAATAATTTGTATCATTGGGTACCACCTTCTCAATCTTCCTCGTTGATACTTATGAGTTTAAATATGGCTAATGGCATGATATACCTGCATGATGGTCAATGACGACTACTTGGAATATTTGAGCATTGGGCAAATGCTTGATTTCTCAGATTAGAACTCAACGCCATTTTAGGAGGAAATAATTTTGTGCTGAGGATTCATAAGCATTAACAAGGAAACAGAGGTGACCAACACAGATGAGTAGAACAAGAATGAGCTGAGGGTGGACCACATGTTCTTCTCATGGGTGAATGGTGGTGTCTTATTTGGGCTGATTCATGTCTTCCAGCTCTGCCTGTGTATGCTGTTTAAGGACCTGTTATTCAGTGTTAACATATGTACTCCACATCTTCATACCTTGTGAGGACCTCACTGACTCGCTACAAATGTTAATGGTTTTTTCTGACCACTTTCATCACTTCTATGGCCTGCGCTGCACCCCTCCTGCATACTCCTTATTCGCTTGCAGAAGTCTGGACATCATGTCTCACATTCCCCAAAGGAGTCCTCATCTTAGAGCTGCTTTCTGCTAAGTCCCATGCTGCCTGTCTGCCTGCCTCCCTGTCTCCCTGCCCCTGCCTCTCACTTGATTACTGGTGTGCACCCATGAGCTGCCACTGCTCCCGTTAGGCAGCACAGGTGCGCACTTGTTCCCACCTTCTGAAAAACGAGCACTTCTTCCACCTTGCCCAAAGAGCAGCCTGGTTTCTGCCAGGAAGGTTGGTCTCTTGGCAGAGGACTGTCAGAAGACATCACCCCAGCCCTCAAAACTAATTTTTCTCTATAAAGTATTTGTTTGCTTTGTTTTCTGACTTAAACACCACTATTTGGCAGTGGCAGAGGCAGGTGTATTTCAAGGGCCATCAGCAGAGCATAGCGACATTGCTCCATGCATCATAAGTGTGGATTCCTTTTAAAACTAGGTTTGAGTATAGAATAAAGAGTTTAATGGAAGGGATTTGCAGAGAATACAGAGCAAGAGTTCAGGGGCAGAGGATTAAGGAAAACAGAAAGCAACCAGTTTGCTATAGAAATTAAAGGGAAACTACATACACAGTCACTGAATAAGTTAAACGACATTCAAAGGTTAAGCTTTTTTCCTTTAAATATCAGTATCCTTTGTACTGATTTCCCAAGCAATCTACCTGGCTGACCTTCTTGTTCTTCCATGTACAAGTCTCTGGTAAAGTCCAAAGAACTATAAAAAAAAACCGCGAGCAAAAATCCTGAAGATAGAAAGTCAGGCTTCCAGGCTATGAACACATCTAGTAAAATGGGTGACAGTAATGTAGTGTCATTGTAGCACCCCTTCCTCTGATTTTATCTGGCTCATTCGTCCTCAGTCCTCATAAATAAAAGCTGGCACCTCAGCCCACAGCTCTGTGCAGGGAACGGACCTCTGCCAAGCCTCCTCTTCTTTCCCCTCTCCCCTGCGCTGTCCTCAGATGTCACCGTCAGTGTCAGCCTGCCCCACCTGTAATGCAGTCAGTGGGAACAGGTTTCTCATGCTCATCCCATGAGCGTGGGCTCATGGATAAGTGATCTCCTTCCTGCTCCCTCTCATCCCCCACACATCTCCATTTCCCTTGCTGCCTGGAATCTGAGGACAGCCCTGCCTCTCCGAGAGAGACTGATTTGCTATGCTCTTCACCCTGAACAAGGAGACCTTTCATTTAAAAAGGAAAGATGCTTTATTTCCCCCAGGATTAGAATAATGAAACATTCCTTGTAAATTTAGAAATTAAAATGCAGACAATACAAGCCCTTCAGTTTCCTTTTATTGGTCCTCAGAGGTGAACTGGGGAAGACTTGTAAATATGGATCAGGGCAGCTCCTGGCCTCCCAGCATTGAAACTCTGCTCACAGCCCTGCCAAGGATTGCCCTCTGATTTGTCTCCAGGATCCCCCTCCCATTTCTCTGCTTCCTTCTACTCACTTCCCACTCTCTACCCTGGCGACTATGACTTTGAAACCGGTAAGAAGCATTCTAAGGTGACACAGCTGTGCGGTCTGGAATGCATTATAATGCTATGTCTCAAGTACAGTATTGTTTGGTTGGTGGAAAAGGTAGAACCCAGCCTTGGAGCGCACTGCCACCTCCTGGAAAACCCTCCTATGTGCGGTGCCTGCTGTCCTGCCTCCGTGCCACCAACTGGAAAACAAGGACTTGGGCATCGTGGACTTCTATCTCTTTTGTGTGTGTGGACTTCTATCTTTAGAATCAAAGATCTGGGCCCACAGAGCCAACTGCTCCTGCCCCTTCAAATGGGACTTCACCAATTCCTGAAGGAAATGAAAAGGTGTTGCTTTGTCATCTTAATTAAAAACAAGTAACTAGGTTGGGGAGGCCACTGGTGTAGAGAGCTGTGATCATTACTTCTGCCTTCTGCTCCTGAGGCTGGTAACAGACACTGCTTACTGTAAATGAGGGCCTGGCACCAGTAGGCTCCTGCCCTTGGGATCGCTGGAAGAGGCGCCAACCTTATTTACACCATGAAGGACTAGACAGAGGACATGAAGCAGAAGCCGCATGCACAGGCAGAGCCCTGGAGTGCAGACAGCCCTGAGTTCTTTGGCTTTTTTTTTTTTCTCTATAGCAATTGTTTATTGAGATTCCACCTTCCAAGCATGTTGAGAAGTTTTAAGGATGTGTTAAGGTAACACTGAAGACACAGAAGGCACCTATAGGTTTCTATTTAAACTCAGTTTCAGAAGCCCAGTACACATAACTGAGTCTTTGAGGCTCATCTTTACTGGCTAATAGCAGCTTAGTTGTCAGGTTTGGGCCAGAAAAACAAAAGATTTGGGAAGATATCAGGCTCATCATCGTGAAAAAGAATGAGATAACTGGTTTCTCTACAGCTTTCCTTGGAAATAATAAAAAAGAATTACTATCTACATAAACTCAAAATATTCTCATTAATTGATTTCAGCTAAGTAGCTGCATTGCTTAAATTCAACTAATATACCTCTGAGTTTGGTAGTTTTTAATCTTTGGAAGGGGGCTATGGCTTTCTGAGAAATATTTTTAAAATCTAAAAATTTATGTAATATTTCCCTGGAAAAATTCGTACAAATTTTTTTTTCTAATGTCTAGAAAAGTCTGTGGAAATCCATTACCACCTTGCAAAGTGATCTAAATAACATTTAATTAAAGATGGTCTTTGATGTCTCTTTGCAATTCCAGGTTTCCGTTTTTGACATCCTGGTTATTTGGGGTCAGAGAGGACACAGCGATATTTCCAAATGAATAGAGCACTATAAAGAATGGCTGAGGTATTTCCACTTCTTTCCCATTCTGTGGTCTCATAGTGAACATAGGTTTGTGTGTTCATTCTGCACACATCCTGGATTTTCAGAGGTGCACATCTGAAAGGCTCTGATAACACCTGGCTTCAGCCTGGCTCCAGGAAAACAAAGCTGAATCAGGGTTCTGCCATGGCACCTGTTTGGATATGTCCTTTGTCTTCACCCCTGGAGAGAAACCCTGATGAAAGAGATTTGGGGACTCAGCCTTCTGCATGGTGGGTGGATCAGATGCAACCTTTTCTGACATTATCATGGTGGTTGCCCCACAACCCTCCCATGGGATTCCAGATACAAAAATGTGAGATGGCACCAGGTGTGAGATGAATTGCAAGAGCCACATTAAAACCATACCAAATACTGACAGACAGGATTGATTCCAGGGTTGAAGAATTTTTACTTTTGGACCCAGGTTTCTAACTAAATCTTCTCATCTTTGGCTCTTTGTTTGCACGGTAATCTCAGCTCCTGGAGGGAAGCTTTCTGCTTTCCCTTCCTAATCTGTTGACAGAAGCCATGTGGTCACACGCACATTTTCTGATTTGAGTTTGCAAAAAAGCAGTCATCTCCCAGCTTCTCTTCTTCCTGGGCCACTTCAGCAGGCCCTTGGGAACTCACTCTTGCTCCTCTATCTGAAAGCAATAGAATCGACAAGTTCAGATTTGTATAATATTTTTCACTACTTCTTCTTTTAAGTTTCCCCTACTTACACCTCCTCTCTTTCCACTTAGCATGTGGGAAACGAGGTACACATAGATGAAGGTAATGAACTCAGACTCCTGGTACTCAGTAATGATAACAGGTGAGTACTGATGGGTTCTTGTGTATCAGGCACTGTGCTTAGCACTTCATACACATCGTCTCACTGTCACCCAAGCCTTATTAAAAAGATACAATTATGTTGTCTTATTTTCAAGTTGGGAAGCTGAAAGACAGTTTAGTTAGCTATTGTTGCAATAATGCTGTATAGCAGAGGCCACATCTTCTCAGAGGCTACAGCAGAAGCATGGATTTAGGTTACAGTGCTGTGGATTTCCGGGAGGCCAGTCAGCCACACTAAGCTGGGCTCAGCCTGGGTGGCTTCACTGCATGTGTCTTTCATCCTTCTTGGACTAACAGGCCAAGCTGAGTTCTTCCCATGGAGACAGTAGAGACAAAGCCTCAAAGTAGAGCATATGAGGCCACCTAGGCCTCAGGCTCAGAACTACCACTCATATCAAATATTAGCCGCAGCAAGTTGCATGGATGAGTGTGAAGTGAATGGGAAGTACACACTGCTTAAGATAAAGGAATAGCACAGCAGATGGAGGGAAGGATGAGGGAGTGGATCCAGAGTAGCTAAAGTGTGGGGTTGAACTTGAAACAGTGCTGCCTGACTTCAAAATCCAAGTTCTTAACTACTGTGTGACATCAATGGGAGCTTAACAAAGGGCCATTATTGTATCTCTTGTTTGTTTTTTATTTTTTACTAATATGTTTGTCATATATAATAAATACATTCACCGTGTGGAAATGGTCCATATACATATCACATTTGATCCTTTTCACTTCTCCTAACTCCTTCCCATCTCCCTTCATCCCTAGGCCCCCTTCCCACCTCCTAGGAAAGTCTATCTCACAGGGCCACCATTGTGGTTTCACCAATTCAGTTGGATGAATGTAGACCGATAAATGAGAGTGGGTGAGGAAAGCTATGAGCAAGAAATGGAGAAAGAATAAGAAATGGGATGTGAAAGGGGAACATATCTACAGTTATATTAACTGACAATTGCCCAATGTTGACTACTTACAGAGTGCTTGTTATATTTCACTTCATCATTTCACAGCAAATAAATAAGGTGCCCCATTCATCTTCTGAGGTGTCTACACTGGCATGTGTCATGTGCTTTCAGGCTCATAGTCATTTTTAAGAGTTATTTAGGAGCTGTGTCCCATTGTAATATTGTACCTAATTTCAGATATCACGACACTGCTCTGTTGGAACAGGAGAAGTACTCAAACACGGTACCTGACCCCAGGAGGAGCATAAAGAGAGCAAAGCCACTCCTGAGGAAGCAGAGGAAGACAACTCAAGGGGAATGAAGCAGTGCCTTTAAATGACCTTTGAGGACAAATGGGATTGCAATAAAATAACAAAGGTGAAGGATACAAAGTAGATAACTAAACATATAAAAACTTTTGCCTTACCAGGGAACAGGTAGTTATTTTCTATAACATCGCACCTCAACCTGGAGCAAGATTGGTAATGTCAGCCAGAGAGAATTTCCTTGGATAATGACTTTTGTCAAGATTAGGTATCAAATGTCATCCTCCAGCAGGAAGCTAGTGAAGACGAGGTCATTGGAAAAATGAAGTGACTAACTCCCCACCCACTTAGTACCTTCCTACGCAATGTGTAATGTTCTCTCTTTCTCCTCTCTTTTGGAAGTGATTTATTTGGATAATGAGTCTACTCTCCATGTCCTTTTTCTCCTAACCTGAAGTAACATGTAAGGATCTACCGATAACAGGTTCTTTGCCCCTCATGTTTGAATGTGTGCGTGTGTGTGTGTGTGCGTGCATGTGTGCATGTGCACACACTCCCTTCGTGGCTGTGATACAGAAACCTATCTTGCAGAGAGAAATGGAAAGATAGCTCATGGAAGACTGGGAGTGTCTGTGTGACCAGACAAAGAAAAAGGGAGCAATAAAGAGAGGAAGGTTCTAAGGTTTTCAGGGAGAAAGGAGACAAGCCCTCTTTTCCTGGTGATATCAGTAAAGCATGGGTCTAAATGTGAGTGCAGAGATCCAGCAGGCAGCCAAGACACTGAGGACCACTGTGATATTTGGGGAAGATTACTTTATCTATACCTGGCTGTCTCTTCTTCCCCAGCCCTCCAGCCCAAGTGTCTTCCTTGAGAGATAAACTCCTCATCAACAAAGCCCCTGTGAGACACTTTTGAGATTCCCAAAGAACAGAGTGCCCTGAAGCCAGAATCTAAAAGACAGAATACTGAGATTAATTGGTCACTGCCTGTCTTAAGCACTTTCTCATTGCAGAGACACAATACCTGATACCCACATTTTAAAGAAGGAGAGTTCAATTTGGCTCATGTTTCAGGAGTTCAGTGCATGGTAGACTGGTGCAAATGCAGCACTAATAGCTTGATGGAAGGATCTGGTGGAGGGGAGCTGCTCATATCATGGTGGCCAGAAAGCGGAGAGAGAAGCAGGGAGATATACAGCCTTCCAGGTCACACCCTGGGGACCCACCTCCCTTGACCATGCCCCACCTCCTAAAAGCAAGTCAGCTGTAGCATCCCCAGAGTCAAATCCTCCTCTAAAAGATCTGCCTATGAATTCATGAAGCTTTCTGAGGACACTCTTGATCTAAACTCTAACACTGCTGATCACATCAGACCTAGGCAAGGCATGTCAACATGGGGGAGACACCTCCTGTGGGCCTTCCTTTTTACTGTTACTTTGTGGGGAGAGCTCTCGTCCTGTATTGCACCATTTCCCACAAGAGTTGGGGCTGTGGCAACAAGAATTATAGCTAGTTTTAAATTGTAGTATTTACTGAGCACTTCCTCTTACTCTGTGGCTAGGGGAGATAGTCCAGGGTGCACAAGTGACTTTGTCCTGGAAAATCAACATCATTCAAAGCACTTTACAAGCATTAACTTATATGACCTTCCCTGCCCCCAAACAGTTAAAGGCAGGTCCTCTTATTATGCTCAGTTTATCAATGAGGTAGCTGCAACACAGTTCTGGCAACTTGCCTCAGGTATACAGCCATGAAGAGATTCAGCGGAGCTTTGAACCTAGGCAATACACTTTCAGAAGTTTTGCTGTTTGACACTTTCCAGTACTGTGTTTCACATGAAACCTGGGAATGGTCTATGCAAATAGTTATCTGAGGAATTGGTGTTGCACAGAGACTTACTTCTTATACTTAAGTAGGCTCTATGAGTGGAAGACTTTGGCTTTACTTTGGGGGATCCTGAACCTAATTTTGGATCTATGCCCAGGACACACTTGAGAAATATATTTTATCAGTCAGTGCTCATTAGAGAAAGACAATATAAGGTACATAAATATATAATGATTTATAAGGTAAGCTTACAACGGCTGCCTACAGAGTCATGTGTGGAAGAGAACAAAAGGGCTGTCTGCATGCTTGAGATCCAAAGGATCAATCAAAGACTGAAGGCCTGGAGTTCACTGTAATGTCCTGTGCAAGTCCATATCAGGTGGCTGAAGGGTCAGTGATGGAAGGCTGGAAGATCTATGCTGGAAGCCAGGAGACATCGTCCAAGGTGAAGGTGCAGACTGGAGCTCCTCTGGAGAAACAGAAGTGGGCCTTCCATCTTTCCCCTTCTATCCCATTCAGGCTACAAGACTATTGGTGGTGCTACTCATACCCAGGGTGGGTCTTCTGTCTTCAGTAAATCTCTTCAACCACACCCAGAACTATGCTGATCCAATTTAATTGTATGTTTCTTACTCAAGGAGAAACAAGCAGTTAACTATCATGTAAATTATTTTCCCTTTTGGGGGGCATATGATACCCTGAACATGCTAATGTGGATCCTGAGTCCTGTGGAAAGGCCCTGTACTTTTCCTGGTAGTGGGCAACAATGTCTCCACCCAACCTTCAGGTCCTGAGGGTGGAACCCAGGACCCCCAAAATGCAAGTAATGGCTCTATCATGGAGCTACACCTCCAGCCCTCAGCTGTGGCTTTTTGACTAATCAGTATCTTTTTTCTTTTCCCCCCAAACATGAGCATTCTAATTTCATTTTCTGTCCTAATCTCTGTGATCAGGGGAGTTGGTCTATGTGTGAGCAAGCATCCTGGACCTGGACAGTTGCATTTTCCACCTTCTTAACCCCAGAAGCCCAGTCAGTCCCAGTTTGAGAATTTTATTAGAACTACTGGAAAAGAATCACTTTTTCCTCCAAGGTGATACAGAAGATAGGATCAAGGCCCTGGTAAAGGGGGGTGGTTATCACTTTGCCCCTGTATAGGAAAAGTCTGTTTTGATAAAACCAACAGAAAAAAATCATGTGCAAAATTAATTACAGAAGCTCATTAAACCCTGATCACAGGGTTTGGAATCCTGGTATCTTTCTGTTGCAGCACTCCCGAAACCTTTTAGTTAGATGAACCAATAAATTTATCCCCTTTCCCCTCTTTTTAACTTTCTGTTTAACCCAGATTATTTTAGTTTGCAGTCTCCTGTGTCAAAAAAAATCTGCCTACTTATACCTGGGCATCCTTGGAAGAAGGTTCATCACTCTGTCCTAGGGCTTAAGAATTACATTTTTGTAAGAGCTGGGCTGTGGGGATTTCCTCCTGTAAGTGGGGAGAACAGCAGCTTTACTACCTGAGAGGTGAAGAACCAGAGACCATCAGGCTTTCCTTGACTGACTGTGCAGCCTCTTCCTCTCCCATCTGAGAGTGAGTTTGTTCAGGCTTATCATTTCCTCCATTGCTCCCCTGGATTCCCAACCCTATTCGGCCACCACACCCCACCCTGTTCTGCCTCATAAGAGACACTGAGGTTGTTTGTAATTACAAAAGCATAACTGAATGGAAAACCTATGGCTGTTATCAGAATCTCCAATTAAAGAATATGCCTTGTGTGGATCAAGGATCATGTGGACCATCAGACCATTTCTGTGTTCTGCTCAAGTTGTCCGACAGCGAGGTGACCCCTTCCCTAGCCCCTCCCACACCTGCCAACAGACATGGAGTTAATTGCTTTTCTCAGCTCCATGCAGGTGGTCTCTATTTTAGTATTTATCATAATGTGGTGTTTGCTTTTCTTTGTTTTGAGTTAGATTCTAACATCCTTCAAAGAAAGGACTTTTCTTCTCAGTTTTTATCCCTTTTGCTCAAAAATATAAATCAAGGTACTCCTGCTTACCCAGTGATAGCTTTATCTTAAATTATGAGCCAAGTCCTCTAATCTGGAATTTCCCAGACAATGCTCCCTAGAGAAACAGCATCAATACCACCTGCTGAATCAGAAACTTTGAGATAACTCTCAGTAGTTCACATTTTAACGAACCTTCCACATGATTCTGATGTTCACTAATATTGGAAAATTACAGCTTTAGCTTCTTGGTACTCAATGTGTAGTAGTCCAAAGACTGAGAGTATCAGTATCACCTGGTAAACTGTCAAACATGTAAAAGTTCATATCCCACCACTTACCTACTGATGTGGCCAGAATCTGTGTTTTAACAAGTGTTCCAGGTGACTTATATACCCTAAAACAGTGCTACCGAAACTTCCAACACCATCAGATTACCAGGGATTTTGTTCATAAAAAACTCCAATATTCAAGAATTTGAATTTTTAGTAAGCTCTCACCTGAGACTGATGCTATAGGTCCATGGACCATAATTTGAGTAGAAAGTGCTGCTTCAGGATTGCAGGGAAATCCTGCACCCCCAGACCCAAACTTCTTCCCAAATCAGGCAGGATGGTTCTGTTTTTCTCTGACATATAGATCAAGCTTCCAGGTAAATTTTTATTTTATTTGAAATAAGAATCTGACAACAAAACAAATCTTTAAAGTAATAGCCTTAGAGAAAATAGTCAATCTTTAAAGTGATAGACTTGCAAACCTAATAATAAAGTAAAAGTCATAGGGTAAATTAGTGTATGCACAAGAGGAAACTGGTGGAGATTATAGTTATTAACTTTTAAAAAGCTTTTTACCAAATTTCCATATTGAATGACGTTTTAAATATGAGATAGTGAAGGTTGCTTGTGACTCGAACCTGATTTCAAGAAGGAAAACCAGGAGCCTTCCAGGCCTCTGTACCACGGCCCCCAGCACCAAGGAACAGAGCCACCCCCAGGACTGAGGAGGAGCCTTCAAGGCTGCTGTACCATGGACCCCAGTGTTGAGGAGGAGGTGAGCCTTCTGGGCCACCATACCACCTCCCCCAGCAATGAGGAGCAGAGCCACCCCAGGCGTTGAAGAGGAGACTGCCAGGCTGCTATACCACTGCCCCCAGTGCAGAGGAGGTGAGCAGCAAGGGTGCCAGCAGCACAATCCCCCCACCCCCCTGTTGAAATGAGAAGACATGTAAACAAATCTAAAAACCAGACTTCCAGATCACCTAAAACAATCCCAAAGGGAAACAAGATGGCACAATCTGATATTCAACCACCTGGACTCCCTGAACTGGCAAGGAAAGAGGATCTGGAAAAAATGAAATCAGAAAGAATTTCTCAGATAACAGCAGAGATTGTGCCCATAGTGCAAGACATGATTAATAAATCCAGAGAGGACACAGATAAAAAAATAGAGGAGCTGAGGAACATGATGGAATCCCAACATAGGAAACAAATGGGATCCACAAAACAGATGTAAACAGATTTCCAGGAGATTAAAAACTCCACTGAAAGTTTATGCAGCGGAATGAGTCAATGTGAGGACAGAATTTCAGATACAGAAGATAAGATTGCAATTAGTGAGGAGGAAAAGAAAAATCTCTCTAAAATAGTAAGGGACCACAAGAAACCAACCCAACAGCTGCTAGACGATGCAAAGAAGAATAATATAAGACTGATCTGAGCCAATGAAGAAACAGGAGAGAGTGCAGATGATATAGAAAAAACTGTTCACAGAAGTGATGGGAGAAAACTTCCCAAGCGGGGGAAAAGAACTTGACATACAGATAAGTGAGGCATTTAGGACTCCAACTAGCCTTGATTAAAAAAAAAAAAATCTACACATAGGCATATAATAGTTAAGATTCCAGAAACCAAACCAAAGAACAAAATTCTATAAGCAGTTAGAGAAAAGAAACAAATCACATACAAAGGAAAGCCCATCAGAGTCACAGCAGATTTTTCAATGCAAACCCTCAAGTCAAGAAGAGCTTGGAGTGACATATTTCAAGCCCTAAAGGAAAACAGCCTCCAACCCAGATTGATGTATCCTGCAAAACTATCTTTCAAAACTGATGGAGAAATAAGATACTTTCATGACAAAGAGCACCTTAGGAACTTCATGAATACCAAACCAGCATTCTAAAAAATTGTAGACAATATCCTAGGAAATGACAATGAGGATCACAATCCCAGGAAGCCCAGCAGCCCATTGGGCACAACAGAAATTAAATGCAAAGGGGGAGAATCCAACAAAAAGAAAAAGTCATGACAATGATAAGTCAAAATGTATCAGTTATAACCATCAATGTTAAGAGTCTCAATTCACCAGTCAAAAGAAATAGACTGGCAGAATGGGTCAAGAAGCAAGATCCAACAATATGCTACATGTAAGAAACACACTTAATTAAGAAAGAAGCTCATAGACTAAGAGTTAGGGGTGGAAAACAATACTCCATGTGACAGGAACCTGAAAAAAAAGCAGGAGTAGCTATCCACTTTGCTGATAAAGTGGATTTCAAACCAACACTGATTAAGAGAGACAAAGAAGGACACTACATCCTCATAAAAGGAAAAATCCAAGAGGAAGAAATGACAGTCATGAACATATATGAACCAAACACTAGTGCACCCAACTATATAAAACAAATACTCTAGTGCACCCAACTATATAAAACAAATACTAATGGACATGAAAAATCAAATAAGCACTAATACAATAGTGCTTAATACCCCACTGTCAGAAATAGATAGATCAACTAGACAAAACATAAGCAACAAAATACTAGAAATATCAAAATACTAGCACTAGAACTTGATCAAACTCTTGAACAAATGAACTTAACAGATGTTTATAGAGTGTTCTACCCCACATTCTTTTCAGCTGCACACAGGTCATTCACCAAAATAGATCACATACTAGCTCATATAACATGTTTATGTAAGTGCAAAGGAACTGAAGTTATCCCTTGTATATTATCAGACCAGAGTGAGATGAAATTGGAGATCAATAACAAAAGAAACTGCAAGAATTTCATAAACACATGGAAATTGAACAACACACTTCTGAATAACCAATGGGTCACAGAGGAAATTAAAGAAGAAATCAGACAGTTCCTACAATTGAATGGCAATACAACATATCAGAATCTGTGGGACACAATGAAAGCAGCTTTATGAGGTAAATTCATAGCAGTGAATATTCATATTAGGAAAATAGAGTGAGCCCAATTAAACAACCTAATGCTGACCTCAAGCTTCTAGAAAAAGAAGAACAGGACAAACAAAAAGCTCATACAAGAGAGGAAATTATAAAGATCAGAGCAGAAGTCAATGCACTCGAGACTAAGGAACCCAAGAGTCGGTTATTTGAAAGAATAAACAAAATTGACAAACCCTTAGCCAACCTTATCAAAAAAGGGAAAGAAAAGGCCCAAATCCATGCAATTAGGAATGAAAAGGATGAAATTACAATGGGCCCAGCAGAAATCCAGAGGATCATCAATATCTATTTTGAAAAGCTATACTCCAATAAGATGGAAAACACAGAAGAAATAGACAGATTCCTAGATACATATGAATTACCAAAGTTGAATGAAG